ATCACTGTGCACTGATCTGGGGGCGGGGGTGGAGGGATTTTAACCCTTAAACTGATGGGATTTTCTAGGCTGCCAGGAGGACATGCATAATCTGTGTACCTCAGTTTAGAAGCGGTGAATAGCTCCTAGGAAATGTAACTGCTAATAAGTTAGCTTATTTTTGGTATTTCTGTTGAACTCCACCACCATAGTATCTGAGCAGCCCACAGTCAGTAACATCTTTATATTCACAACCCCCCTATAAAGTAGGGCAGTGCTATTATCCCATTTTACAGGTGGGGAACTTAGGCACAGAGACTAAGACTCAGATCCTCAACAGCATTTAGGTGCCTAGCACCTATTGGAAATCCATGGAGCACTTTTGTATTTCACACCCTTCATAAACGTTGTTACAAAAATGTCCTGCTTTTTTTTTAATTTTGAAAAATATGGTGACCTTATCCAACCCTCCCTCTCTGTCTCATCTAATCTAAACGATCCATTCACCCGGCCATCCACTGGCTGGAATACATTTGCATAAATCATTAATCAAATACTTTTGAATAATGAACACATATGTAAGAGCCAGTGTCTGTTCATGGATAATTCATTGATTGTTTGCTGCAAATAGTTCACTGAGCTCCTCTAGAGACACTCTCAAAATGGGTCTAGTACAGGCCACCAGGTCTACCTTGTAGTATTGATCTGCCTGAAGGGGAGCAGAGAACTACCCCACCTCCAAATGGCATAGTGAGAATGTGTGGAGGGAAGGGGGTTGGAAGTAAGGGGAAATTTGGGGAGATTTTTCATAGCTACCAGATTCAAAGGCCAGAAGGGACCACTGTGATGATCTAGTCTGACCTCTTTGATGCAGACTTTGGGCAGTTCATGTTCCACCACAGAGACGCTTTTAGAGATGGAGATAACCTATTCTGTTATCCAATCCATCCCACTATCAGCACAGAATGATTCTTTGCAAACTAGTATATATTCTAGTGTTTATCCCTACCTAGTCCTAATGAGTCTTCCATGACTTCCCTTGGGAGATTATACCAATAGATACCAATATCAGAAAAATTTCCCTTCTTAACTTAATCTTATTATTCCCAGTTAGATATTCCAGGGTCCAACCATAAATAACTCCTCTTCTTGATTGGTGTCTACACTCTTCAACTACTTGTAGCAAGTTTTCATACCATCACCACCCTTAGAGATTGTTTGCCTAAGCTGTACATATTTAGCTCTTTCAGCCTTTCCATAATCCTTATAAAAATCACTCTCTGTAGCAGCCCCATAATCATTTTTGCTGCCCTAACTCCCAGTCTACATTTTCAATAACCATCGAGTAAGGCAGTATCTAATAGCCAATGAATAGTCCAGATGCTGGGATGGGCTTGTGACTGTTTGTGTGGGAGCGGAGTAAGGAGAAGATCTGGGCTGATAGTGTAATGGTCTTTCCCTCTAGCTGCATCAAATGTTTCCTGGAGGAAGGCCTCATCCCCTGATGGCAATTCTGTAGGAAGTGAGGAAGTCTGGTGATGGGACGATAATGCTAAAATCCACCCACTTTTTCGGCCTGCAACGTGGCTAGATCAAATATCCCTGCACGACGTCTTATAGTTACTGTGTGGAAGTTGGTATCTTACATAGAACAGCAGTTCCACTGTGCTTCTCTATACGTGTCTTGCAGGAAGTATCATCAGGGAAGGTATGTTATGGGGGCTGGCCTCTGGTCCTTGTTTCTGAAGGGTTGACATTACATTCCCATGAGGACTAAGGGGCAATATATACAGGCACTGGTGAAGATCAGCTTTTGTGTACCTCGCACACTGCAAACTTTCTGTTGTCACTGTGAGCTGAGAGAAGAGACAGTCACTATGGAAACCAGGGGGGAAATATACATTATATCCCACTTTAGACCTGTTTCAAGGAAATCTTTTCATCCAATTCCACAGCTAGGTGGGTTACTACAATGATTTAATTTCTAAAGCATCCCTGGCCCCAATCCAATCCCACAAATGTGATGGAGGGGTGAGTCCCATGCAAGGCTTAACAGAGCTTAAAACTGAAGAAGCATTTTCAGATGCTTCTTATAGGTGCAGAAGGACAAACTGAGGAGGATACCAAAGGGAAAAAGGTGTCACTTCCCAGCAGATGCCACAGCAAAACCTCTATCAGTGACCAGCCATGGGTGTAACAGCTGAGCTCCTAGATGGCAACTAGCGTCAGATACCCATCCGGAGGAACCCCACAGACAAGGTCTTGAAATAACCCAGGCCCGCAGCTCTTTACAAGAAGCAGGTGTGCCAGCTCGGAATCAATCTGACCGTCTTTTATTTGTGTGACTTCAACCCATCCATGCCCTTTCACTTCTCCCACCCACCTCTCCCTCAGCATCTTCCCCACACCTCCCCAAACAAACCTCCCACACATACTTTGGACTAGCAACATCGGCAACTAACAAACATTATTAGCCCTTCGTCAAGCATGCAGAACCTACCAAAGCAGCCACATCATCTAACTGCTGTCACCCTATCCTCCTCCCATGCCCCTATCTGGACATCTTTCCCTACATTATATCTCCTTATCTAAGGCTGTAAGCCCCCCCAGGACAGCCCCCCCCGTTACTGCTCTGTAAAGTGCCTTGCACACTATGGGCGCTGGACAAATGCGAAATCATAATAGCTGTGATTAGACTCACTGTTTATCAGCATCCAATGACCTCCAGGTGTGATTCAAACCAATGGAGAGCAATTCCACAGGCACATCAGCAACATTCCTTGGAACGTCAAGGCAACAGCCCACACTCATCCACCCCGAAAGCTGCCAAGAGGCCCAGCATGGGCAGCTGGCCCCAAACTAAATAGAGCCTTAGATCATGTGTTTGAAATTATTGAAACAAACCATTTTGATTTGTCAGGCAAGATTCACAAGGAGATTTCGGCACCAGTCACAAAATTGAGGAGGAGCAGGTGGTGGTGACTGTGGTGCATGCCCTCCTTTTAGCCAATAGCCTGATGGTTAGGACACTCACCTAGAAGGGGAAAAACCTGGTTCAAATCCCTGCTCTAGATTTCAAGTGTTCCCCATCCCAGGTGAGTGCCCTAATGACCATGCTACTTGTTAAAAGGGGGCCACCACCTCCTCCAGGAATCTAGCCCTTCATGCCTTTTGCTTTTATTAAACTAACCCTTCTGCCAGGTGGAGCTGCAGCAACCAGGGTTGGGTTCAATATCTAGGGGTTCCTTTTCAACAATACAACACAGAACTGGCTCGAGCCCCCACCCAGTAACCTGGGAAAATTACACACTGCCCTATGGTGCCTCTGAGAGGCAATACTTCCTCACTTGCAAGCACAGAGTCTGAGTGTAGAAAAGAAACTTTTAATGAAAGGAGAGAAGTTACCTGACATTAATTAGGGACAATGCCGCAAGCAGGATTCATAACCATAAAACTGAGCAGGTCGCCCACCCCAGAGTGCGTTGGGCAGAGTCTTCCACCTCATGTTCTTGAGTTATACAACCAAAAGTTCCTTTACAGGGCCTCCCTCTGCTCCCTCACCATACCCCACTCACAGTGGTCGTCCTTGATCAGTGAGAATCCTAGGTTCAGAGGCACATCTGTGTGATTTCACTTCCCACCTGGGGAAGAAGGCACCTTGCTTGCTCTGTCATCTGAGCACTTGCTCTAGCTGGCCGCCCTGCCAGCCGTGGTTCCTTGCTGCCTGGCTGCTTTGCCAGCCACTTCTTCCCTCACCAGTCACTCGTTCTGCTCAGTACCTCACCAGCCGCTCACTGGCCGTCAGTCACCTTCTGCTGCCACCTGCCTCTCTGCTGTGACCGCTGCGTATCAGTCTCTTAGTGACTGCAGGCTGGACAGAAACACTGCCCCCCCCCAAAAAAAGTGATTTCAGCTCTCATTTGAGCACTTTTACATAACAAAAGGTTCCTAATGAAGCCTATTTAGCTCTACCTTTGAACTGTGGAGAGGAACAGGTTAAACCAGACTGGGGACCATTAGGGACCGGCCACCCCTCTTACTTTCACAGGGGTCTGTCATTCGAGCCCCTGGCTTAGCGAGTTCCTTTCAGCTGAGGATGGACAAGCTCAGCACAATTCTGCTCCCCTTTAGTCATACAATGAAGATAACATTTCTCTATCCCCTGCATTCAATACTAAAGTGATTTGTAACCAACACCAGCCAAAGCTGATCACTTGGCACTACACAACTCCTGTCTGCTAGATACCTACGCAGAGTAGGTGTGTTCACGTCAGGACAGAGTTCATTCAGACCCTGCTTACAAAACAAAAGGCTAAAAATACACTCTTCCCCCCGCCCCAGCAAAAATAAATAAAATCAACCTGACATTTCATTTCAGGTTGTGAAACATTTCATTTGACCAGAAATGAAATTTCCATTTTTTTTTCAATTTGCTGTAAATTCTGATTCATTTTTTGTTTGATTTTTCAGAACAAAAACATCAGTTATTTGCACAGTTCTAATGATGGGTCAGAGGGGATGCATAAGACAATTTTCCTTCACAGAGACCACATCTAATCCAAGCAGGCGTGGACAGTGTTTTCAGTCCATGAGAGGGAGAGAGTGGCTGTCTCCCTGAACTGTGGGCAATGTGGGGAGCATAGCTAGCTGCCTGTGCTCGGAAGGAGATATGTGCCCCCTTTCATTTGTGCTAGTAGCATAGCATCACGGTGTGTGACCCAAACAACCCAACCCCTTCTCAGGAACTGCCAAAAATGTGTGGCATCCTCAGAGCTATGTCAGGGATGGATGTAAATAGTGGGATCCTTCTGGAGAAAATAAAATGTTCTGTTCCAAGCAGGTCAATATCAAACATGAAGTCTGAAAGGGCTATGAAAATCATGCTCCCATTGGGAACTAGAATCCTTTTCTAAGGCCTCAACTGAAGCCCCCTGTTCAAAATCCCCTGACGCCTTACATAAAAACCCTACAGCCTTCCTAATTACTCCTGCTAAAAGTAAAATCAGGCAGGACACTGCTAATAAATAAATCAGGTTTAATCATAAACAGTATACATATTTATAGAGAGTGAGAGAGACTTGATAATATAGGGTGTTGCCATGGCACCAGGAATCAAACACTTGTGCGTTTTACCTGTGAGCGAGGATGGAATGACGGACAAGTGGAGACGGGATTGGGTCTCTCAGAAGCTATTTCTAGCAAATATCCGTCATTCTTTGTCACCTGTCAAGTTACAGAACGAACTAGGATTCAGCCCACAGCTCCAGCCAGGACACAGCGAGATGGATACATACAGGGGCAGTATGTGAGGGATGGGGCAGGGTGGAATATGCCAGGGCTGGTATGAGTTGTGTAAAACACACTCATGGGAAGAATATATGCACTGTTGTTACTTACAATTTTAGAACCAGATTCTGCCCACAGCTATGTATGCCCATCTCCCATTTAAATCAATGGGAGTGGCATGCTCATATCTGAGGGAATACATCTGGCTCTCTGAGCGCACACAGGGCCCCAGCACACCAAGCAAGAGACACTGAAATAGAAAAGGCAGGGAGATAGCAGCCAGGGACCAGGGCAAGGGAGGAATGGGAAAGAGTGACTCAACCCCAAATTAATCACAGTGGCAAAATTCACCCTGTGCAGAGAGTTAGCACAAGGATTATGCTCTCAGGGACTTTAGTGGCGCCTATGCCCATCCTCTGTTCAGGGGCAAACCCCATCAGTAATAAGGAGAACTCTGGAATGAAGGGATGGTTCCAAGCAGAGTTGGTTCCAAATCAACTCCCCATGTCCTGTCATCCCTGAATTCCAGAAGAAGGTCCAAACCTCTTTCTATAATAGTTCAAGCCAAAATTCAAATCGGGTTAATCTCTTGTCAAAGACAGGAGGAAGGAACCATTGCTCTGATAGAGAGGTGGGCAGAGTGAGTATTTATAATGAAGTATTCAGAGTACCTGTAACAGATTTGTGCTTGTTTTGAGACACAATCACACATGAGGATAGCTAGCAGTCAGATGTGTTGGCTTTACAGTACAACAATTTCACTTTCAATTACTGTACATATTATGTAACCTTAAAACTGAAAATACTTGGCAATTCTAGAACAGAGACACGGTTTTCATTTCAAATACACAATTGCCATCTGGTTTCACTTGAAAAAACAAAACAAAAACAAGATTAAAGCTATAATACAAAAGTGACGTTTACGTCAATGGCTGTTAGAAATTGCCACCGGTACAGCAAAATTTCATCACTCCCAGACTTTCTAAGATACAGCAAACTAGAGGTCATCTAACTGGCCAGTCAGAATTGCACACCCATGTATAGAGTCCACCCTCAATCTGAAGAGCCTGGGTTAATACAATTATCCGTTGAATGAAGATGGGTAAACTGGAGCATTTTTAAAGTATGCTTGAAAAAAGACATTTGTTTTTCTCAGCAGAGGATGAATAATGGGTTACTGTTATTTACACAGACCCAATGCCTTTTGTGTGTTACTGACCTATTCCCTGGGTGGGCAAGAGGCAAATCCTTCTTTACAAGTCCAAGTTCTTCAGACAGGAGAAGAACGAAAAGGAACTTAATTAAGAAATGAAGAAGCCAGTCACCTTTCAGACCTCTGATTTCCTCAACTGTTTACAAGGGTAGCTTGGAAGTTTACTATTTACATTAGCGATGCTGTGGAGGTCTGAGGAAGAGCCATGCTTACGGTCATGGTGGGCATCCTCCATCAGGTGGGTGCTATGAACCCGTTCTCAAACCGTTTTCTTTAAGGCACTGCACCAACACAATGACTTCACTCAAAATGGCGGATACCCCTTCACTGGATAGTGCATTTCTCCCTCTCCCTTGCCTGGCCTTCCCTGAGAACTTTGGATTTGATGTATTTCAGGTCACTGTTGACACTGGGTCGGCGAGCGAAGGGGGAGACCATGCCATAGGCATCCATCTCTTTGACCCGGCGCATCCTGAAGGATTTTTGGTGGAAGGCGTCGCCATACTGGACAGAGATTTTCCTGTGAAGGGCAGGGCTCATCTCGTGAGGTAGCTTGGCCATGCTGAAGAGGACATAGAACATCTCATCCACGTTCGTGTTCTTCTTGGCTGAGATTTCAAAGTAAGCACAGTTCTCATCGCTGGAGACAAGCTTCTCTGCTTCCTCTGAGCGCACCTTGCGGTAGATTTCACTATGATCATTTTTGTTGCCACAGATCATCATGGGGAGGTCAGCTGCCTCTTTGGTCTTGTTCTTCAGGCAGGATTTGACTTCAAGGATCTGCTTTTGGATCCTCTTGACCTCATCAAAGGATTCTCTGTTGTCCAAACTGAACACCAGGATGAAAACATCTCCTGCAATTAAAAAGAAAGAGGACTTGTTCATTAGAATCCACCTCAGAGCAGTCTGCTTCCCTTCCACCAAAGAAGTCGGTCCAATAAAAGATATTACCTCACCTATCTTGACTCTCTCTATTTAAAACATAGTGGATTTTGTTCCCCCATCCACCCATCATTCTTCCTCTTTGCTTGTTTCTCCTTCGATCCTATACACCAGGGGTCGGCAACGTTCGGCATGCGGCTTGCCAGGGTAAGCACCCTAGCGGGCTGGGCCAGTTTATTTACCTGCTGACGCGGCAGGTTCGGCCGATCGCGGCCCCCACTTGCCGCGGTTCACCGTCCCGGGCCAATGGGAACGGCGGGAAGCGGCGCGGGCCGAGGGATGTGCTGGCTGCGGCTTCCCGCCACCCCCATTGGCCCGGGACGGCAAACCGCGGCGAGTGGGGGCCGCGATCGGCCGAACCTGCCACGTCAGCAGGTAAATAAACTGGCCCGGCCCGCTAGGGTGCTTACCCTGGCGAGCCGCGTGCCGAACGTTGCCGACCCCTGCTATACACTCTCTAAGGTCACCAGTTCCCGGTCACTTTCTGATTCATCTTCCCCCTTGTTCCCACAGCTGTAGAAATGTCTTATGGTCAAAGTATTTCCTCAGTCACAACCTGCTGTCTTATCCTAGACTGCATTTGACTTATTGATGTTGTCCATTTGCACCATGTTTTTCCAATAATCTTCTGACTGAATTCTTCTGGGTCACTCACTCCTCCCCCCCACCCTTCTCTAGATCATTTCCCCTGAAAAACACCACTTGTGTAGCAACTCCTAAGAACAGAAAACAGTAGCCACGATGCCTCAACCCTTTCAATATATAAGAACAGGAGCAGCACTTGACCTCAAGACCCACAAGCCAGGTTTCAGAGCATCTGAGAAATGAGTTGGAGCCTCCAAGAATCCAGTGTTCTGCTACCATTTCACTTGCTCAAGAGAAACAGAGTACAAAAGAAAGTGCAAATGACATACGTCCTCTGGTATTACTTACAGTACTGGGACTCAGAATATTTCTTGTACAAATACAAGCTAAAGCAAACCAACAACCTGTTAAGTGCAGTTTACATGGAACCGAGAAAGATCTTTCATGGACCCAAGGTTATCCCAATCCACATCCTGGAGTTTGGCACCTGTTTCATGTAGGATCCAGATCCTGGTATCTAGCGCTACTTAATATAGACTTAGGGTGTCATTGGATAAATAGTAGGGCAAGTAGGACTGAACCCAGGTGGCTATGAACTTTGGTTGTATACTCAGCCATGTATACACCCACAGTCTAATTTTCAGAAGTGATGCATGCACAGCAGCATCCGCTGAAAACAACAGAAACTCCTCGCTAATCAACACTTTCAATATGAGGCCACCCCCTTCTAATATGTGGTTTACCTCATTCTGGGTGACTATAGGAGAAGGAAGAAATAATAAGAGTGGAGGGAGTGACTTTAGGGAGATGCATTCCACTGGAATTTTTAATTGTCCAAAAACAGGGAACCAGTTTAAATTATTTTTAAAAAACCTTGTCAAGTCATTTTTAACCCCTCAGAGTATATTTTACATTTGTATTACATTGCTTGTGCATGGTGGTGACAAACTTCCTCTTTCTCCTGGCATTCTTTATACCTGTGAGATTTTGATTTTACCATTCACTTGTCATCGCCGTTAAAAACACAAGTTGTATGTGTTATACGCAGGGGTTGATGGGAGGAGAATAAATTAGGCAAAGCAACTCAAATTTTAGAACGTCTCCAAGTTGATTCCTGGATGAGTGATATATCCCCTGATGACATCTGGGGTACTCCAGTCAGGGAATGTCACTGGGGAAAAGATGCATCTTTATAACAAGTTCCATCCCATTACCCATCATTCCCTCTATCTAGCTCCCATTTTTTCCTCATTCACCATATAAACTAGTGCTCTGTTAGGAAAGAGTTGTGTCCAGGTTATTATTCTCAAGTAGAAATGTACAGTTGGGATCCTTGACCCACCATCCCTCAGTAGGACACCCCTTTCTTTCTCACACCCCACCCCTCTCACCTGTCAGTATAGAAAGCCTCCTCATTGCAGGGAAAGGGTGATTCCCAGATGTGTCCAGGATGTCCAACTGGTACATGTCTCCCCGGATGTTGTAGACCTTGCGGTGAAAATCCTCAATGGTGGGAGTGTACTGGTCCTCAAAGCGGCCAGTGAGAAAGCGTGAGACGATGGAGCTCTTGCCCACTCTGGAGGCTCCCAGCACCACCATGCGGTAGGAGTTCTTGGCTGGCACACTCAGGGTGCAGTTCCCACTGGACACAGTCTTCATCATTGCTTGGTGCTGAAAGGGTCAAAATAAAAGCAGGCCAGGGGTGGAGAGAAAGGAAAGAAGAGTGAGACTGGAGTGGAGAGACCCCTATGTTTTCTTACACCAAACTCAAAGAGCACTGTGGATTGCTCCATGATGTAAGATAGAGCGTTTGGTTCTGGTTAGCAGGTCTGCTTAGCAGATATAGGAAATCTTGATAGGGAAATTTCATGGGGGAACCTGCCTCATTTTTTAGCCTGGTTTAAGGAGAATTTTCTTTTTTAAGTCACATCAAAATGAAGAAATTTATATTTGCACATAAAGTTTTGAACTACAATTTTCAATTATGTTTAAACATTGAGGGCTAATTTATCAGCTTGGCTTTAGCCATGACTCCAGTTTCGTGCCCATAGTTTAAGCCACTTAGATATTTGGGGCCTGATTTTCAAAAGAGCTCAGTTCTCATTTAGACACCTAAACGAAGCAGCCAGGTTTCCAGAAGCACTGAGCAGCTCCCATTAAGATCTAGACACTCCCTTTAGGTGTTTAAATGGGAGCTGCTCACAGTACCTGCTTTCCAGGATGAATCAGATACTTAGAGTCCAAGTGACCTAAAGTGCTGGTACAGGTAATTGCAGGCACAGAATTGCATCATCAGACCCTAGCTTCAATGACTTGGGCCCCAAATGTTCTTTTTCAAATTTTGACACCAGATTTTTATCCAACAAATCTCTTATGCCAGAGCTCCTCACCCCCAAATGGTTAGTATTTCAAATACTGCTGCTTTGCAGCAAGATGGCTGGTAGTGGATGGAGCTGCAGAAATGCTAGTTTTGTTTTTCATGGATGTGTCACTCTTTACATACACGTTAGTCCTCGGTTCTGGCAGTCCTTGGCTGTATTGAGAGAACTAGAGAGAAATGAGGGGCTGTGGGGAAGAGGGCAGCTTTCTGATATAACCAGAGAGCAAGAAGAATATTAAAGTGAGTCTACAGACCCTGGAGATTACATTTTGACACAGCACAAAGATATAGGAAATCTTGATAGAAAAACATGGATTCCACAGACATTTTTCATCTTTCAGATCAAATATGTTGTGCACAGAAAAGAAAAATACAAGCACACTGTGGAAAACTAGCTGTCATAGCATAGCAGACACATTTGGACAGTTTATTTTGGTTACTAGGAGCTTATGAAAGAAATATCAAGTTCCCACTGTGCTGTTTATTAAATGTAGGTGTTGTTTACTGAATGATAGGTTTTGAGTATTTATATATATACACACTGAGAGATTATTTCCGGGTACAGATCTGGATTCCTATCCTTTCCCCATGTGAATTTCATCTCCCAAGCCTTTATGCCAAGAAAATCACTTAAAATGTTTTACATGTGTTAAGTACCAAGCAGAAGTAACGAAATATTCTTTGTATATAAAGAAGCCTGTAAGAAGTCCGAGCCAGCATCTCTACTGGCTTTGTGCTGTGGTTTAAGGCAATAGCAGAACATTACTACTCATTATTATTGTTATTTACTGAGCATTGACAGCATTCTCAGCTCTCTAAAAAGCATAAAAGAAAATGCAGCGCTTGCCCCAAAGGCAAATTATAATCTAGATTACACTCAAAGGGGATTACAGCCTAAATTACAGTCAGGCATTAAAATCAGGACATAATATTGTGCACATGTAGCATGGGTCCAAGTCTGTTGATGTGAGCGCTGCGCCAGGCTAGGCTGGCAAGATCCGGCCCTATGTTTGTACTGGACTCTGTGTCTAATTTGGAACAGGTTGTACCTTCTCAGTGCAAAGTCACCAATTTTCCTCAGAAATACCGACATTCAGTGGTGTTCACTGCCCCTTGTACTCTCCTTTGTACACTAGGATGTGCAGGTTCTAGGGTCTATGCACCAAATGGATAGGGATTGAGCTGTTTTGGGATCAGGCAGAAGTGTTTTTTTTCCCCATTGTGCTCTCTGAGCTTTGTTTAGTAAAGTGGGGTATTTTAAAAAGCAGAATCAGTTTTGCCAGACAATCCTTATAAAAAAGATTGACATTATCCTGCCATAATGGTTCAATGCTATACATAGGGCCAAATCCTCAGCCAGTGTACACTGGTGTAGCTGCACTAACTTCAGTGGAGCGATGCTGATTTACACCATCTGAGGATCTGGCCCAGTATCTTGTCGCTGTGCTGCTGCAGCGGCTGGGGTGAATACTGTTAAAATACGTTCTTCAAATACGGGACTCTATCGGTGCTATCTGACGTGTTTGGTACAGCGCCCAGAATGACAGGCCCCTGATCCTCACTGCAGCCTCGGGGTGCTACCGTAATATAAACTAATAAATAAATAAATATTGACCGAGAGGCAACGGTGTGAACTAGCAGCAAATCACAGCTACACAGTCCATCAAGAAAGCAAGCAGGAGAGGGTCTCATCTCAATGGGTGGGAGGAGAATTCTGCATCTATCATACAGACATGCCAAGCTGCACGTGTGCATCATCTCTTTCTATATTTGAGTGTGTGGAGGAAATACTCATTTTGGCTAATAGCTTTAAAAAGTGGTCAAAGTAGGTGACTATCCAAATTTAATGGATCATAATATAAAGCAGCCCTGAGAGGTGGCCCATCACAGAGGTTCTAGGGGGTGGGGATGAAACAGACGCTCCTCAGCTGAGCACCGGAGGAAATGTGAGAACATAGGGCCAGATTTTCAGCAGAGCTCTTTGTTGGGGTCTGAGCACTGAAATATCTGGCCCCCATTGTGCATGACGTACAGCTGAAAAGCTGGCCACAAGCCCATAATGACCCCATATAAACCCTGAAAACTGATCTTGGTTTTTCAGAACATGCTGAGAACAAGAAGCAAACAACTGAACCGGGGAAGAAGAATATTATTTTAGTCTTGGGTCTGGTTGGGAGCATACACATGTTGTCAGTTTCATTTTACACGTGCAGGCTTTTCACGCTGCTCTGGATGTGCCACGTCACTTTATTGATAACACGCCCCCTACAACTCTCTGTCCCTTCTCTCTCGAAATAGGACAGCATACATTCCTCCACTGAAAAGAAAAATAATCTACTTTCTGTCCGTCTTGCCTAGCACAGGACTTTTAGGAATTTTTCTCTCATATTCATCCTAACAATCAGGGCTGAGAGTCTGCAGAACAGTCTCTCTTGGGTCCTGGTGGGAGCCTTATGGCTTGGGCCAATTAACAAGCTTGACGAAGCATGGGAGAGTGCACAGTTGGGAGCAATCCTAAAACATATGGGACTTCTCTAATTTCTATACACTCAAGCTGGGGCAGCTCCAACTTTTCTCCTTCCTCTCAAAGACGCACAGGCTATGACAAATACAATAAATCAATACCCCCTTTGCATCTCCACAGCACCTTCAATCCAGAGATTTCAAAGCACTTTTTGTTAATTTCTCCTTCAGTATACTCCTGAGAGAAAAGTATTATCATCCCCATTTCACCGAGGGGAAGAGAACAAGGCACAGAGAGGCTCAGTGACTTGACCAAAGTCAGTAGCAGAGTGGGGAACAGAACCCAAGTCTCCTGACTCTCAGAGTGCCCCAAATTCCAGTCACTAGGCCACACTGCCTGCCATCCTGAGCCGGGCAAAACCTTATTGTGTGTGCTCATACACACACCCATGTGGTCAGATTCTGAGGCTTCGACTGAGGGGTCTTTGTGCACAGGAGAGGTTAGGGGAAGTGACAGCTGGAAGCAGATCTCCCCCAGCACATCCAGTATTCATTTAAAATGTCACCTTATGGTGCCCTTGAGAGGTTGGTTCTGTTTGTCAGATTATCCCTTTAAGGGCTCTCCCATGCTTTGCAGCCTGCCTTTGGTCTAGTGCACAGTAAATAGATTCTTTCAGCACTTCTAATTCCTGTAGCTGCTATTCATTTAATTGCCTCCGCTGAGCACCTGACTTACAGGGTGCGGCATAACCTGGAACCTTCGTTTGTCTTTCACGCTCTTCACATCACCACAGCTTCTCTCTGACTCAAACCTTTCTCCTCTCTTACTCGGAGAAAGAGACCAAGTTCAAGCCCCCTGCGGGGCACAGGGAGCCATACATGGGAAAGATTAAAGGCAGTAAAGAGGAAACAGAAAGAGACCACACAGTTATTTACGAAATAAAGTAAAAATCAATCAGAAGAGGACAAACAAACACCACCAGCTGATTGGAATCTATGACTCTTCCTTCAAGTTTATTAAAGGTTTAAAAATAGATTTGTTCCCTGCTGTATCTTTAGCTTCAGGCACTGACTTTAAGGTAACAAAACACCTGATTTATACAATTTTGCACTTTTAGAGCACCTTCTGTTCAATGATTTTAAAATGTTTCACAAAAGGTAGGTCTATTTAAAACTATCCCTATTTCTGTGAAACCAGGGCACAGAGAGATAAAGTGACTTGTCTAAAGTCACACCGTGAGCCAGTGACAAAGTAAGCATTAAAACCAAAGTCTCCTGACTCCAGACCCTTGCTCTAATCATTAGACACTGCTGTTTTTGCAAATTTAAGACTACATTACCATGCACCTGCCTTTGCAAATCCATGCATGCACTGAAAAGATCATGCTTAAATTCCAGTGAGGTGGTGAAAAGTCTGATCCTATGCACCAGTTACAGAAAAACATAATGAAGATAGAAAACCTGCTGCCTGGAGCTTTTCCATACTAGCTTTCAATACCCAGATTCTGCGCATTACTGCATGCATTATGCTCTCTACCACTGAACATACATAAAAACATTCTGAGGTGCCACTGTTTACAGTCACCAGTTACAATATTTCTCTCTCTATACTAGTCCTAAGAGATGTATTGCATCTGGCTAAAAGAGACATAGGCAGAAGCAAACCAAACTGTGTAGTACAGACCTGTCATTGATTAGAAAATCCTGGAGTATTTTCATTTTCATGCACACTGATATTATTTCTGTAGGGTGCTGTTCTCCCTGATTGCTTTAATTCCAGGTTCAGTGGCTCTCCCTTACCTTTCCTTGTTGGGAGGAGAAGTCCTGAATCCTAGTGTCGTGGATGAAGCAGTCTTGATGGTTTTAATCAGAGGCTGCTGCTGCCGCTGCTTTTTTCTGGATCCCAAGTCACTGGGCTGGGCTCTTCTCCACCACTTTGGACCCTAACTGGACTGGGAAAGACCAGAGCGCTCCAGGGGCTGGTTCCCCATGGGTGATCTTTATTGGGTCAGAAGATTGACATGGTCCAAAGTAGACTCTCTGTACCAGAAGTACTCCTGTTCTTTCTCCCCTCTGAAGAGGTTTGCTCTTCTCCTGGTACTCTCAGTTCACTACGTCTCCCACTCACACTTGCTTTTCTTGCAACTTGTAATTCGTAGACTCATGTGGGTGGAAGTGGCCTCTGGTGCAACACCTAGCTGTCAAGGCTAGTGTGTGCATTCAGCTGACCCATGGTGCTTCTAGGTAGATCCTGTGAAATAAAGAGGGGGAAGCAAATTAGGGGTTAAGAGGGGGGCCTGGGAGTTTCTTATGATAGCTGGTTTGAAAGTACACCCTCACACTTGCACTGCAAAAAATCCTGGCAGATAAAAGATTTCCCCCCTCATCTAAGATTTGTTTAAAAATGCTTTGCTTTTTCTTTAAATTTTAGAATTTGTCTATTGATTCTTCCTCCCTGCCTCTCTCGCTGTCTCTCTCCCCCAGCAGCTGGGAAGTTGCAGGTTTTCCTTCTGCAGAACTCACAGATAATTGGCTCACTCCTCCCTTGAAGTCAGAGACAGTGGAAGAAGAGTTGCTAAGGGGGTGGGATCTTATGTTTATTGAAGGTCTTTTTTTTTTTAAACACAAACTTCTTTCACTTTCCAGATTGCAAATTCTTTTCCTTTCCACAAGAGACGTGTGTATGTTTGTGATCATGTGTGAGAGAGACTTGTTACTCCTAGTACATTTTACGCTCTGAAAACTCATGATCTCCTACCTCTGTTTCCTAATTTCTATGATTCTTTTGAGATATAGCATCCCCTGCCCGAAGACACTTTGCAGTTGTTAGGAATGCTCGTTGGTTTTGATCTAGAACTAAAAATCAGATTACAAATGATAAGTGGCTTGCAACTTCATTTTGATCTGGATCAATCCAGAGACAGTGCTAATTTCCCACCTAAAAGCTGTGGTCCAGCCTGCTTTCTCATGGTTGGATTCCTGACCTCTTCTTGCTGCAACAAGACCACTTTCTCCATAGACTGCGTATCGGCACTACTGCTGCTGCCAGCCCTGGTTTGTAACCACCTCCCTCCTTCGCCACACCCCTTAGCTCTATGAATGATTAATCACTTCCTAGGAAGAGGACTGCTGGTCACACCCACCCACCCACTCTTGAATGTGCATGTAGTATTCCTGAGGGCATTCTGTGCCAAAAAAATGTAAAATTGTGCACCAAAATATTAAAAATTCTGTGCACAATATTTTTAAATTCTGCAAAATTCTGCAAATTTTATCATTGGAGAGCAAAGGGCACTGGCTGCACAGAGGTGGGAGATCACTATGCAGTTCCCTCCCGGGACACGGACTCAGCCGTGAGACTGCACCCAACCTGACAC